AGAGGGTGGGCCTGGGGGTAGGGAAGGCAATTTCAGCCACTAGAAAATGTGCCCAAGGTTACTCCTCCTCCCAGTAATAAGGAAAATAATTCATTATGACTCATTAGTATTTTTAATTTACACAATGCCTTCCTTCCAAGGAACTCATTATGTCAATGGAGGTTCATTATGAGAAAGAGATTTGGGAGTGGAATTTATGTTGGACACAGTCTTCTAAATATGGCAGCAAAGACCTTTATTACATGACTTGAAGCAAATCTCTCTCTATAAGCTAATTAAGAAGGGATGTAAAACTGTGTCAAGCCCGGGTAACGCTGAAGGAGAGACGCCCAGTACTCTTAAAGCATTACTAAAACCATGTTTCCTCCCAAATGTTAAATTCACAGTGCTCCTGAAATCCTACAAAATCTTGGGTATGATATGTTTTAATAGTATTAAAGTTAGTTATTGTTTGGTGAGAAAAAAATATTGCAATTTTTACATTTAGCTTAGGAAAAATGATTGGTGTTTCTAATAAGAAACCTTCAGAGTCAGCCTGAATTAAAGCCACTCTGGTTACTAGCCCATGGGCATGTGCTTCTACCAATTGTACTATCTGCTGGAGAAAATAATTGTCCCTCTACACCTGGGAAGTTACCGGTTTGGATTTTAAAGGAGCAGACAGCTGCATGGGTGCATACCATTTGGTACTTCTCCATTTGTACAGTGACACAAACATCCCATAGTGAGCCTAGGAGAACTCACACACTAACTTTACAAATTATATATATAAAGACCATTTCAAAGATTGTATTACCTGGAAAGCCAGCAGCAAAGAGTCCCAGAGAAAATGGGGTACCAGGAGACAGAGTCATCAGCTTCTCATGGGGTATTCTTGGTTGGGGGTCAGACAGCTCTGAGGGTGAGTCAGATCTTTCCCTTTGCCCGCAATCTCAACTCATCCAGTTCCATTCATTCAGCAAGTATTTATCAAGGGCCTGCTAAATGCCAGACCCACTGCTAAGTACTAGGGATCCTGTGAGGGCTCCCTGCCTTCAGCACTCAGCAGGCATTAACAGGCATCAAGCAGGTTGTTATGCAATTAACCTACTCACGGTTCAGGTGAGTGCAAAGAAGAGTGTACTTAGACTGTTAGGAGCTCTTGGGGGTGGGTCAGGGCAGTGTTGGGGCGCATTAGCAATGAGGTGGCATCTGAGCTAAGATTCAGATAGGCAGGAATAAACTGGCAGAGTGCTGGGAGAGGGGTTGGGGATGGGAAGGAGAGTGTTCCAGGCACGGAGCACAGCCTGTGCAAGGAGCCTTGGGTTGGTGGGCTCAACTGAGGGTAAGCAGGGTGGACAGTGGGGCCAGGTGAGGCCGGAGCCTAGAATGCCAATGACGCTGAGCTTTTATGGCACCAAAGGATGGTCTGAAGCAGAATGGAACAAACTTGTATTTTTAAGGATCCCTCTGTCAGCTTTATGGAAGAAGCCATGGTGAAGGAGAGCACAAGTGGGCTCTGAGAGCCTTCTTGTTACTACACTACCTTCCGGTCACCGAGGAGGCTTGGGCGGACTGGTAGCC